AGATAGCCTCTGGCTCTCCAATGACCCTGAAATGGATGAAACGGGTTAGAAAAGGTCTCAACAGAAAACTAGACAAAAGTGTATTTAGATTTGAGAAAATAAAATATTTCTTTACCCAAAAGGTTATGTAAGTATGGAACAGTCTGCTCAGCCATTTTGTTCAAATGGATACCCTGGCTTGTTTCAAGAATCAGCTGGATACAATCTTTAGATGAATTAGCTACTAAACTCCAAATGGGCTACATGGGCAGAAGGTCCTCCTCTTATTTGCAACCTTTCTTGTGTTATTAGTGCTGAAGAGATGTATTCAGTTGATGAGGTACAGTAGCAGGTTATGGTTGGGTTTCATTCATTTTCAAGGGTGCTCAACATGCCAGTGTAGAGAGCTGTCATTTTCACCTTATGTTTAAATATTTCACTTTGATCAAACAACTACCGAATAGTTCTAGTTTAGGTATATGTAAATAACTGCATTTGTATTTTTAACGTTACCTTTCTCCACTGCACAGCATAATGAAAGAGGAAAAAGGAGACAGAAGGAGGAGTCCCGCAAAGCTAAAGATGACATAACCACAATAGATGTGTGCAACCCAACAGCTTGTGGAAAGACCTTAGAAAATCAAACCTAACAACTAACTTAGATTCCAATCAAGTAAAAAGAGAGCAGCTCAGTACTTTTGTGACCTGTCAAGTCAGTTCTTAATTCACTCTTTACAGTAACTGAAGAGAGACTAATGTGATATTTCGTGGATAGGATATCGAATGAATAACAAGGTGATGTGTAGCTGACTAGATAAAACCCCTATTAATAAATAACCCCCCTTACTGCTAACTACTGACAATGCTGCCGAATCATTTGTAGATTCCTGATCATTATCATCAGCAAGAATTTGAAAATGCGTCTGTAAACACACTATGAAAAAAACATTTCTGAATCAAATTGGATTTACATCCTATTTCATTTTGTAATGCAGACCTGCATACATAATAAACAATGGCTGTGTCATGTCAGGGCAGTTCTGCCATCTTTGCTACAGACCTACATAGGTGACCTTTCATCTCTCAACTAGATAATAAGCCCTTACTAGTAATCGGAGCTCCTCAAGGTGTCACAGTCAGCATGAAGGCACATCAGTCTTTATCTGTTTTAGCAGAGGGCATTGTGTCTGTTATGCTGCCCATGTTAGGAATCCCATAAATACAGAAAAGAACATGACAGTAGCAAGTGAGGCTGAGGATTTCACTGTCTCATTTCTAAAGCTGTCTTCTCTCTGCCATGCAGGACACTGTTGTGAGGCAAATTCCTTCTGTCCGTGTGTTTCCTAACCGTTTCATCCAATTTAGGGTCACGGGGGAGCTGGAGCTTATCCTGGCAAGCAATGGGCGCAGGGCAGGGTACACCCTGTATGGGACACCAGTCCATCGTAGGACAGACATATACAAACACACACTCGCACCAGGGCCAACATTCCCAGCAGCAAATAAACTTACCAGTGTGTCTTTGGATTTTGGGAGGGAACTGAAGCATCCGGAGGAAACCCACGCGAACATGTGGAGAATGTACTAACTCCAAACAAATAGCACCCTAGGTTTGGAGTTGAACCCAGGGCCTCAGTGACTTGAGCTAACCTTCACAAATTACAACCCACACAGAGTTATAGCCCTGATTAGGACCCTTATATTCAAAAGATCTTTACTAGCTGAGTACTTTACTGAGGTACACTACTGTAGCATGATATGTACAGAAAAATATATGTAATTTTGAAGGCCACATGAATAAAAAATGTTACTTAAAAAGTGAAACACAAATTCGTAGTTTGTGAAATGAGTAAAGTAAGGCTTGTTTGGGTCTCTCTAATTTTAAACAAATCCTCACACAGCTACTTAGAGGAAATGGCCCCCAGTATCCTTCTCTGATTTCCATTGAATCCAAATAGCTTGTTTGTCAACACTTCAGGCTGAATCTACTCTCATATACGTGCATTAAAATAACATCCTCTTGATATTAAAGGTTGTTATTTGAAGGTAGAAAATAAAAATGAACTGCAAAACATTTGAAACAGAAAACACAAATGGACTTGAAACAGACCCTGACATATAAAAAAACATTGCACAACATTACGAAACATAACTGATACTGAGAAACAAAAACTTGCTTCATGTGAAAAGTGTATCTGATATGCAGTTAATGGCTGACATGTTAGTAATAGTAATTGGAACGTAACTACTACTGAACTTTCCTTAGTAGTTTTTTTATGTGATTCCCAAAACACATTTCTTGCAAGTTCCTTAAACCACTCAAAAACAAAGCAAAGGCAATTCTTAGTTTTTGTGTTATACTGATCTTTATCAAAGTCACACAAATGTGACATTTACCATGTAAACATTATCTGCAGAGAAATCTGAATTTCTCTAAAATGTGTTACAGTAGGAAAAAGAACTATTGTAAGACTGACGATCTCCCAGTCTGTGGGTGAACAAGCACGCAGATAGCAGACG